CCATTTGTCATCTTTCTCTACTTCTCTGAAGTTGGCAGGTTCTAGGACAGCAACATTGCATTTCTCATAAATTTCAGATAAGGGTCTTGTACCTCTGATAGGAACATCATCTGTATTATCATCAAGTTGCTGTGGATTTTCTGGAAAATCCTTTTGTATTGGCTCCTCCCAGCTCCATTGTGGAAAGTCCTTTTGTATTGGCTCTTCCCAGCTCCATTGTTTGTCCTCTAGAAATTGGACATCCCTACTGATAATTACTTTGTTGCTTTGAGGTAAATAGATCCTGTAGGCCTTTGATTGCAAGCTATAGCCAACAAAAATTCCAGGTTCTGCTTTTTTGTCTAGTTTGTCTCTCTTAACCTGAGGAATGTAAGAGAAAGACAAACAACCAAATGTTTTCAAGTTGAGTAACTTGGGTTTGTAGCCATACCATGCTTCAAATCGAGTGCTTTTTGGTAAGGATTTTGTTGGCAATCTGTTTAGGAGAAAAACAGTCGTGTTCACGGCCTCAGCCCAGAATTTCTTTGGGAGCCATTTGTCATGAAGCAAGCACCTAGCCATCTCCATAATTGTTCTATTTTTTCTTTCGACAACACCGTTCTGTTCAGGAGTATAAGGTGTTGTCAATTGATGCTCAATGCCTGCATCTTCACAAAATTTGTTAAATTTTCCAGAGGTGTATTCAGTTCCATTATCGGACCTGATCACCTATATTTTTTCTCTGCTTTGAGTTTCAGCCCAAGCTTTAAATTTCACAAAGATGTCAGCAACCTCAGATTTAAATTTCATAAAATAAATCCAACACATTCTTGTGTAATCATCAATAAAAGCAATATAGTACTTGCTACCATTTAGTGATGGCGTACTCATAGGTCCTCCAACATCAGTATGAATTAGTTGTAACTTTTGTGTTGCTTTCCAAACCTTATTTTTTGGAAAAGAAAGCCTTGTTAGCTTCCCATACCGACAGGCACTACAAGTAGGAGGCTCCTTCTCTAATTCGGGCAAGCCATGTGCAAGATTGTGCTTCTTCATGAAGATTAGAGGACCATGATGAAAATGTCCCAATCTTTTGTGCCAAAGCATTGTAGTCGTGTCTTCTTCATGTACTGCAGCCAATTCATCTTTCATTAAATCCAAAGTAAAGCTTTTGCCTGCCATTTGAACTTTGAACACTTCTCTGCCTTCGGAGTCCTTAATCATGCAGTTTTTGTCTTCAAACAGTACCTTATAGCCTTTTTCCAGCAACTGAGGAACACTTAACAGGTTTTGATTAATTTCAGGAACATATAAAACATCGAAAATTAATTTCAAACCTGTAAGACCTTCAATTGCCACTGTTCCCTTGCCTTTTACTGCAATGTAAGCTCCATTTCCAATTCTGACTTTGGAAACAACTATCTTGTCAAGCTCTCTAAAGAGTTCTCGATCATGTGTCATGTGGTTTGTACAACCACTATCAATAAGCCAGCTTTCTGTGGAGCTGTTGGCAGCAAAACATGATACTGCAAATAACATCTCTTCTTTTGGAAGATCCTCAACAACCTTGGCTTCTCCTTGTTGTTGTTGAGACTTGCATATCTTCTCCATGTGTCCTAACTGGCCACACTTATGACATCTTGCATCTGGCCGCCACCAGCACCGGTTATGTGGATGATTGGTCTTCTTACAATTGGGACAAGGTGGGAAGACTTGATTGTTTTTGTTGTTTTGGTTGTTATACTTGTTGTTTGTAGAACCTGCATATGTAGAACCTGCATTTTTATTATTGTAACCTTGCATCTTTTTCTTGTTCTTCCAACCATTATTGTTATGTGTTTTGGCCTGGAAAGCACCATCCACCACAGATCCTTCTTGCCTCATAAGCCTTCTCTGTTCTTGTGCCTGTAATGCATTTAAAACCTCTGCCAAGGTGATGCTTGACATGTCCTTAGATATTTCTAAAGAAGAGATTGCAGCCTCATATTTTTCAGGAAGAGTAACTAGGATCTTTTGAACTATTCTAGAATCAGGAAAGTCAGTGCCAAGGAGTCTTACATTGTTAGCAATAGCTAAAAGTCTGTCAGCATATTGTTGAATTGTTTCTGACTCGTTCATCCTTTGCATCTCGAAGTCTCGGATCAAATTCATCACTTGCATTCCCTTGACCCTTTCATTTCCTTCATATTCTTGCTTCAAAAAATCCCAGATTTCTTTGGCTGTTTTCAGCGTCATTATTCTGTTGAAGATGGTGGGTGAAACAGCTGCAAACAGGCTTGCTTTTGCTTTGGATTTTCGTTGCTTCATCTCCTTCTGGTTTTTGATTTGTGCAAGAGTGGGATTGGCTGGAAGAGTTGGAATGTTATAATCTTGTTCAATGGCATCCCATAGGTCATTAGCATCTAGAAAAGCTTCCATTCTAACTGCCCATACATGATAATTCTTTCCATCAAACACTGGAGGTGCAATTGCAGCAACAGTCATGACTTCTGAATCCATTTTGAGATTTTGGGTGATGGAAGGTATGAGAGTTTAGGGGTTGTATGTTTTTTTGTTGTTCACTCAAACTCACAGGTCTCTCAAGATATGGCTCTGATACCAATTTGTTGGTTATGAAAAGATGCGGAGAAGGAAATATAGATATAACAAACTGCAGATGTAGACTTATCTTTATTACTTCAGCAAACGTGATACATATATAGCAATAGGGAAAACAAAAAATGCGTAAAAAACTGAGCATAACAATATTAGATAAGTGCAAAGAGAATCTTCTCATCCTAACAAACAGATTGACTTAATATTGCCTAAAAAATAGGAAAACATAAACAGCTACTGAGTCACTAATTAACACATGCCTTGGTCCACGCATTGTGTTAACATAGTCGGTGTTGACTCTTGCTAAGTTATAATTGTCGCATTATCTTTTTTGGGGTGCTTTATCTATACTATGGGTAACAGAATTAGAATAATTTTTATCCTTATGTTTATTAAGATATCCAAAAAATTTGTTTATCAAATCTTTGTGATTTTCATGACTGCTTTTTTGTTGTCTACTTTTCACCACCAACCACTCTCCATGTGTCACAATATTCGTCGCACATCCCTCCATAGCTTTTGGTGGTATCTTCGCAATTCCTTTCTCAATAAAATTAAGGGAGGTGGACGAGACCACCATAATAGGATCTGTATCGCTTGAGACCGCCTAATTACCATCAGGTTTAATAAGAGAACAATCATGAGTCGCATGGCTATAACAACCACATAAGGCACAAAGGATGTGTGATCCCTTATACTCAACATTGTACCAGTCCCATTTAGACTAAACTTGCCTATTACATGAACTTTAAGATCAACCTACACGTAAACATAAGCGAACTAGCCCCTGGTCATGTTTAGTGTATTAAGATCCACCTTTATGGTTGTACGAATGGTTAAAGCGATAGTGAGCAAGACACTTTTATCATAAACAACCATGCCAAGGTTGGGGAAACACACCTAGACTAAGGTTTTATCGATAACAACCTTTGATGCCACAAACTCTAGATCCCATGATTAGACAGATAGGTAATGAAAGATTGTCCATGGTTCCCATCGATCACCTTCTCTTTATCTGCTTCTAGATCGAATTTCACCATGAAAAATCCATGCATGGCATCCATAAGTTCAAAAGCCCCTTCCAACTTCCCGACAACATGGAGTTTCTCTTTCATGGTCAAAAAACCAATGTTCTTTCCTAATAACTTCACAATTAAACATTACTTTCATGGAGCACACAATTTCTCAAACTCGACAAGCTTAATGATAAACTTGGGTAACAACCAATTTCCTCCTTCATAGTTAATTTCATGACACCTTTCATGAGATTTTTTAATCGTTTAAGGACAAAGACAATGTCTAAGACCTGATGTCTAAAAGATATTTTCGTAGAGATCCCTTTTCTACCATGATCAAGTAGAAAATGACCATCTTCACATATTTGAGCGTTTTTCTCTCTACTTTTCATCTTTAGTAGATTATTTTGTATTCTCAATTATAAGATATAAAATTTATTTAATTATAAATATTAAAATTTAATAATTTTAACATTTATACCTTTATCTTATATGTATAAAATACTCTTTTAGTCCTTTTTATAAGATCTAATTATCTAATTCATTATGATTAGAAAAAATTGATTCATCAATTAATAGAAGATAATTAGTAGCTTAATATCATGTAAAAATTCATAATCAAAATCATTTGATTCTAATATAAAATCCGTCTGAGGATAATTTGAATATGCATCCTTGATAAATTTAACAATTCAAGATTAATTTTATAAAAAAATCAAATCTAATACAAATGGATTTAAAATAATAATAAAAGTTAAATATTTGAACAAATTACTAATTAGAAAAGAAAAATGAGATTGAATCTCTTTAAGTTCAAATTTGAGTCTTGTACATATTTCAAGATATTTATTAAGATTTTTAATTATTTGAGCGAGTTAGAATATTATATTTGTTTTAAAGAAATAATATTTTGTACTTCTCTAAAAAGAATATTTTTGAAAATTAAACTAAATTAAATAATTAAATGGGATCTGATCGAACTTTTTAATGGCCTCCATCCAGGTTGTTCGTTTGTTAGATCAGATAAATTCAACAGCCAACAGATATTTAATGGCCTCCAATCCATCTACCTGAGCAGGTGTTCCCATCCTTACAATATTAAATATAAACAATTGCAGCGCTCATATACCAACGCGATAAAATTAGAAAATAAATTAGTTAAAAAAATAAAACGTAAGTTAAAATTAATTGATTAAATTAAAATATTTTTAAAAAATTATTATTTATCAAATAAAATCATAAAAGTAAAATATGTATATTATATATAT